TCAGAGGTGATTAGTTTTTAGGGTTTCATATTGCCCTACGACAAGTCCCACTTGTGCGGACTACTTGGAGAGTGCAGCTGAGCACTTACTTCAGACCTACAGTTGAAACCCTAATTTTTCTCTCGCAGCAGTGGGGCCCACATCAGTGTTCTCTACATTATTGAAGGGGATTCCAAGGTGGTGGTGGGGTGGTTGAAGAACCCTGAGGATATTAATCATATTCAACCATATTTTTAAAAATATTAATATGCATACATACATACACATATATAAAAGTATGCGTACATATTAGCATGGATCCCACAGGGCAGGGATCGGGGTCCCCGTGGGGCGGGGGTTGGGGTCCCGACAGGTGGGGAGTGCTCTCCCCGTCCCCACCAACGGGGATGAAAATTTCCCCATCCCCGTCCCCGTAGGGGGAAAATCATCCCCATCCCCGCCCCATTTGGGGTGGATCCCAGCGGGAATCGGGGAAATGGGAAAAAATGCCATCCCTAGGAAAATAGGGTAATCTTGTTTTGGGTTTAGCTGTAATGCTTGTTTTTCTTTCTAGTTTCCTTGTAATCAGTTGACAGAGGCTGCAGCTTGTGCCTCTCCAAGGGCTGTTATATGAGCTTAAAGTTCTCTATTATCTTTTGAAGTAATAAATGGCTTAGTCACATCGGGGATGGAAGATCTTTCTGTATAGTGTGGCTTGCTTCCTCAATAAGTGCTTCTCTTTTTTTAATTTTTTAAGGCTGACTGCTTGTCCACATCTTGGTGTCACCTTGGTATCTTTAGTTCATGGTACCCAATCCATTGACACACACCAATTTTAAAACAAACTTCATCACCAAATACCATTTAAAAAATTTGTGAATAAGCTTCTAATAATTGCATTGACTTTAGCACTTTAAATTCTCAACATCATACACATAACCCTCTTTTGACATTTTCTACTACTATTCATAGTCTCAAATGTTCTATGCTTAGTTGTTAAAAGTGAAGTTATAAATAGTGTATATATTTTCTCAAATTATGCTATCAAATGAGTTTGATTACAAATTTCAATCAGATCGAGATATGACTTTTTCAGCTTTGAAAATTTAACAAAATGCAATTAAGATACTCCAACAACTAAGGTTGCTGAAGCAATTGAGATTCTTAGAAGATAGATTTACCATGTTCCTTACAATGTTTTTAAAGGCATTTGAGGCATATGCCTAGAGGCGAGGCGCACTCAAAATGCTCTAAGGCGTATGCTGGAGGTGTACACCTCAAACACCTTTTGCATGATTTGTGTGTCTCTGGCACGTCTCATACACGTCATGCAGAAAGAAAGAAAGGAAGGAAAAAATGAAAGAAAAGGAAAAAAAGAGGCTTACGCCTCTTGTGTTCTGAACAATGCCTCACGCCTCCGCAT